TCATGTTGTGGTGACCCTCCCAACCATAAAATTTTTTTCATTGCTGCTTCATCACTGTCATTTTGCTACTGTTATGAATCGGGTGACCCCTGTGAAAGGGTCATTCGACCCCCAAAGGGGTTGCAACCCACAGGTTGACAACTGCTGATTTAGAGGTTTTGAAAAGATTGTAACAAAAAGGTCTGATTTGTGGCAGACAGAGAACTTGTTTTGCCACCACGACAATGCACCTGCTCACACAGCCATCTCAGTGCACCATTTTTTGGCAAAAAACAGCATGCCTCTCTTGCCCCATGCACTTTACTCACCTTACCTTACTCTGTGCGACTTCGTTTTATTTCTGCAAATGAAGAGGGGCAGTGATATCATGAAGTAGAAGAGGTGAGGAAAAAATAAGGGAGCTGCTGTCAGCCAGCCAAACAGATGAATTTGAAAAGTTTTCAAGAATGGAATTGCAGATTTGACAAATGTATTAAGTGTGATGGAGAGTACTTTGAAGGTGATAAGGTTGTTTTGTAAAAAATCCATTTAAATACATAGCTTTTGGGAAAAAAAATTCTGGTTTTTTAGGGGGTACCCCCTCATATGTATAAACACACACATACCCATGAATGAGGATGCTTCCAAAATTTGTGAGAAAATGGAATTAAAATATAGTGGAATTATTCCATGAACTTTTGAAGCATACACACACACACTCAGTTTCATGTCACATCAGTAATGCTAGTACCTTAAAATTTACCTATTATGTTTCATGCATATTTTTTTAAAGATCCTATACTATTCAAATGGAGAGAAGGTGGGGTTAGCAAAAAAGGTATAATGTTCACGTTATATGAGTGAAATACCTGAAAAAAGCATTATACTGAAAGATCAGTTTTGTGTGTGGTTCATTAACGTCCACATTTTCCTCTGGCCGAAGACATAGCAATAGGCCCGTATTCCTTGCTGTGTCTGTTCTGCCTCAGGGCAACCCTCCCTGTGAGTGTTCAAGTGCAACTCCATAGGGTTTTCAATGGCTGACATTTCTGGAACTAGGTCACTGGGTCTTTTTCCTGAGGTTCCTGTGGATGGACACAAACCACCAGCCTCTCAGTTAGAAGCCAAATGTGCTAATGGTAGAAGGAAATCATTTTAGAGATGAGTAAATCATCGCTTATTAAACGATGTTTCCAGAAGCTGTTGCTCCAGTGAAACCTGCGAAAAACAGGATGACTCATACTGTTGTTTGGAAGCTGGACTAGAGACCCATTGGAGTAGGCGAATTCCCTACATTTCTCACACTCTCCTTATAAACTCATTGAATTCAGAGAAGGCAGCATTACACTTTTTGAGGACTTCTTTTCCCCCCAAAGGATTCAATGATGCAGAAAGTGGTAAAAAGGCCTGTCTAGAGCCTTACAAACAAGGCATGTGAGTCTGAAAGCCAGCTTCCTGCCTCTGGTGCCCCGCCATTGCCCTTCACACTCACCTTGCACACCATGGACGTCTTTGCTCCAAGCCTGGCCGCTTGCACACACTGGTTGGCACCTTTCCCTCCAAAGCCAATAAAAAACTTATGTCCATGGATGGTTTCTCCAGTTTTGGGCAAACGAGAGGTAAGGCTATTAAAAAGAAGAAAAGCAGAGGTAACCTGAATCAATTTAAATTCTTTGAAAGAGAAAGGTAAGGCTATGTGGAGTTCTGCATCGTCCTAAGCCTTGGAGTCGGGAGCAGAAGCAAAGAGGAGCTTTTCCTTTAGCCAGTAGCTTGCATCAGTACTGAGAATGCATCTTCTAAACAGATTTCCTCTCTCTCCCCCACAGTGCCATGGCCACACCATAGCGCTGGCTGTCGCTCCGCTTCCGATGGCTGTGTCTGGGGTCTATCCTGAATCAGCGCTACTCAAGGCTGCCTCGGTCTCTGCTCTTGGAAAGCTTTGGACAGTGAAGTCAGCGGCTGCCGTCGACCTTTGCGTGTGTCAGAGAGCTGCACAGGGCTCTCCAGGGCGGATTTTGGGAAGTAGACCACCACGACTTTTGTCTGAGGTGCCTCTGAGTGGACAGGTACTGTCAACTCTCCCATCAGCAGCTGAGCGCATTTCCTATTGCTTCACTCAAGGAATTTCATAGGCTACCTTCACAATGTCCAGCAGAGAGCTTTGTTCACAGGGATATAATGGATCTACTAATAAATGGGATAAAATGGATGCGTGTTTCTATACAGGTTTTTCTGGGCACTAATGAGGAGCAGGAAGAGCATTAGGAGTCTGGTAATCACACACAGCAGCTGAGGTGAAGGGGGTTGTCGCAAGTTCAGGCACTAAACAAGAGTCCAAACATCTAATAGACCACACAAACCTCATCCTCCCTCATCCTGGGACCAGAAGACCTAGGTGCATGGCTTCCACTATCAACAGCTCTGACAAGGGATTGAAATGAGAAATTTCTGCAAAGAGTGGGATAAAAATGTGGAACAGAGAAAAATCATGAAAAACAATAAAAAAACAAGCCAACCAGGTTTCCCCATCTGATAGAGCCTGCTGTAATCCTTGAGACGGTGGCCCTCACACATCCTTCAAGCCTGGAATGGAACTTACCCATGTGGCCCCAGTCAATCAAACAATTAAAAACCAAACCCAAACTCACTGACATTGAGCGGATGCTAACTTATAGGGACCTGATAGGGCCGGGTAGATCTGCCCCTGTGAGTTTGTGAGACTATGCGGTTAGCAGCCCAACACATAACCATTATGCCACCAGGGATCTCCAGCCAAACAGGAGGCAGGCCAGACAGGTGAACCACGACACGAAGGCACGAAGGAAGTACGCACCCGATAACAGACAAAGGCAAATGGCAAACACAGGCAGGAAGTGGGAACATTGCAGGGGTTACAGTCAGGGCCACAAAATGTGTATGAATTGTTGTGTGGCAAATTTCTCCCTCATCTACTCTCCCCACCTCTCTCAAGAACTAAGGATTTTTACTGCAATGCTATCACAGATGTTCACAGTAAATGAAGCATAGAGTAAGAATAAATGGGAATGCTCCAGGGATAATGTTCATAACTTTAAAGGGGGAAGATGGGAGGAAACAAAATCTTTGGAGGACAGGAAATGACTGACTCTACAAGGAAGAGGAGCTCGGGGTGTCGGGCAAACGGACAAGAGGGGCCCAAGTGGCAAGAGGACCAGCTGACTGGCCCCAAGGAAGTTGGGTCAATGGCCAGGTAGAATAGGGAGGGAGGGGCAGGCTTGACCACAAGGCTCATTAGCTATGTGCATGAAAGAAAGGCAGGAGATAAGGTCCACGATCATAAGTCAGCTGAGAGCCTATTCTGATTGAGCAAGTTCTCGTAGCAGATTAGAAATTTATATTTCCACACAGGCTACGACCTAACTGAAACCAGTATCTTAATATATTAAGAGTGTCAGCACAAACATAATTTCTACTGGACACTACGTGTTGGTGCTGGTATGACACGTGACTGATGCAAGGAATACAAGATTGTGTGCATAAAGACCAAGTTCAACCCATGAACCTTTTGTAAAGTCCTGAAAGTGCCAATAAACTGGGCTTAACTACTCCATTCCCTGTCAACTATGGCTATTTTAGATTCAAAAGAAGCTCATCAATAATTTGAAAACACCCCACACCTCCTCTTTTCAATTCTATTTTTATCTTGGATTCTAAATGCATTTATAGTACTGATGAAAAAAAATATACATCTAGCAGGTTCACTTCTGAGAAGGTACTCAATCAAGAGAAAAATGGTTTTAATGTAATGTTATTATCCTGTCATTTAATTTAGCAATGACAAGTGATTATGAGATTTTGATTTGCATCAGAAATCTGAAACATTTTAGGATTCTGTTATGAACAGGCAGTGATGAGTAATCTGTGTGATTGAGTAACTGCGAATTCTTGGCTAATTGATGCTGCTACAACTATACAAAACTACCTTAAAAAGAAACTAGCCAGCGTGGCTAAAAACAGGCCAAATAACTTAATTAGCAAGACTGTCACTGAAGAAACGTATGACTTCTACTATATTTATACTTAGATCTGGGTCACAATTCACTGGTTTGAATCAAGTGTACTTTTTACCACCAACTGTGAAAGTCATGAAAACCATATCAACAGATTATTCCCTTATTGGTGTGTGTGTGTGTGTGTGTGTGTGTGTGTAAAAGCATGTGGTAAAACCAGGGCACAGATTGTATGTGCTTGATGTGGGAGCAAATATGTGGGTTATAACTTCAGTTTCAGACAACACAAGATCTCAAATCAGTGGTCATCAAAATTTTTTGCCTCTTTGATATTTTACTATTCCCCTTTTCCCCCCCTTTGGCATCTTTTCTCATCTCTTAATCTTGTGCCTCAAGTTTGATCTTTCCTTGTTAGACTGTAAACTGCATGAGGGTAGACATGGTGCCTGGCCTACTCCTTTTAAATTCACGGTGCTGGGCCCTTTCCAGGATGGCCGCAGATATTTGCTGACTGCAGGGATCTTTTGAAGTCTTCCTTCCTTTCCCTTTCTCTCCTCTTCTGAATGTCTCTCCTGTATAGCATCCGTTCTTGCTTCTTCACTAAGGATATGGAGGGACTGATGCAGGGAAAGAGGAGCCTGGGAAGGAATGACCATACACTTGTCTAGCTGGACTGGATCTCGCGTTCCCAATGCGGGCAGCGTTTTTCTTCCCCAGGCAAGCACTAGCTGAATAACTCAGGCCATCTCTCTTTCATTCACCCATTAATTCACCAAATGTGAACTCGCTGACAATGGGAGAACACTGAACTCCAAGGCAGGTACTACGTGAGTGAGCAATACATGTCACAGAACAAGGAGATTAGTATGATGCTCCCATTCGGGTTTTTTTAAAAACAAAAGATGTGCATGTTCTCACAGGATGTATAAATCCATCAAAAATGTTAATGATGGTGAACCACGGAGAAAGTTGGGAATGGGGAAAAGATTATTTTATGTCCACTCGGTTGGGCTGCCACGCCCAGTGACAGCATCTATCAGTGTGGTCAACTGCACGAGGGGATCTTCTGTGAAGCAGCCTCGCTGCAGCTCTGGTCAGTCTTGATACAATCGAGGAAGGTTTCATTCTGGCCTGTGGCCATCTCTGGGTGTGCACTGACAGTGTGTGGAAGCTAGTTCCCTTCTACTGTGGGGTCTCGATCCTACGTCTCATTCATCCACCTCCTGCCCATCCCAGGAGCCATCAGGGAATGGCTGACCACGGACTCATTCGGCTGATCTGAGATGCATTCAGTTCGGCATCCAGCAGCCTGTGATCTTCCTGCTTCATCTTCCAGCGTCCTGCTCTTCAGTCCCTGCAGCTACAGGAGTCAGAAGAAGCGTCCACTTACATCGGACCCTTGGGCTTGAACTGGACTGGACTTTCTACGCACAGACAGGAGTCCCTGGTTTTGCTTCTCTGGTGAACTCTGCCGAACACACATACCTCTGTATGTAAGTAGATACAAGAGATACTTGCACACAGCAGATTGCCTGTGTCACTACTTTTGATTCTCTTGACGGCGGTT